AAAATAAACAAACCAGAGGGAGCCTTCACAAATGTTGCTCAGGAGAAGTCTCAGCAGTCGGCAGAGCCCTTGAAAGAGGAGGCACCAGAGGGTGATTATTTGGAGCCTCAGTACTAGGCAGAACCCCAGAAGGAGGAGGCACCAAAGATTGATCATTTGGAGCTTCATTACGCAGTACAACCCCAGAAGACGAAGGCAATAAATGCCTTTGGAACAAACCCACAAACCTCTTATGATCAAGTAAAATCTGACCATCAGATTCCTGCAGCTGGTCAAGCTTCCTCTTCATGTTTGTAACATAGTCATGTGCGAGCCTGTGCAACTATTTATTCTCATGCTGGAGCCCTCTGATCTCCTATTTGAGACTTATCACTTCAGCCGCCAATGATTCAACTTGGCGGGTTCAAGCAAATAGGCGTTGGGCCATAGTAGACACAGAACCTGCACACTGAACACTGAGAGCCAGAGAATCCTTCACAACCAACTCATCAGACCGTTTGGAAAGTAGTCTGTTATCTTTGGGAGTGAGAAGGTTCTTGGCCACCACCGCAGCGGTTATATCATTCTTCATCACAGAGTCCCCAACGGTAAGAGGACCAGTACGGGATAAGAAAGATGGGCACATATGTTGTCTTGAGAAGGCATGGCTGCCTCTTCACCAAAGTTCAAGTCAAAACGACGGTCGGATGGGCCAGACATTCTCAGAAATGATGAAGGATAAATGAGGTGCAATAAATCTCTGAAGTAAGGGGAAAATTCCTACAAGCAATAACTTTCTGAATGTATTCCTTGCACACAATTGGTGGCCTTATAAAAGAAAATGGCAACAGGGCCGTTGGTTCAAAAATCGAAGAGGCACCACTCTCCGGATTCCGATGAGGCACCATTTTCCACACACAACATCAGCTCATCGGGTACCACAGATAACTTTGCCAAAGATCTCTGACAAAGTTTAGACGCATAAATTTTGAAGGTCTAGCTACCTTACTATTACCCACAAGGGTAGAGGAACAGCACCACTGCTTGATAACTAGAAAGTCCCAATATGTGTCAACCTCCGTGCTCAATGGCAAGGCAAACTGGCAAAAATGCCCAACCTTTACTCACATTCGAGAAAACACGCCCAACAAGATTGCATGCTCAAAAATCGAAGAGGCACCGCTCTCCGAATCTCGAAAGCCAGACTCCCAATAGGATTACGTGCTCAAAAATCGAAGAGACACTGCCCTCCAAATCTCGAGAGCCAGACTCCAACAGGATTACTTTCTCAAAAATCGAAGAGACACTGCCCTCTGAATCTCAAGAGCCAGACTCCCAACAGGATTACTTTCTCAAAAATCGAAGAGACACTGCTTTCCGAATCTCAAGAGTCAGACTCCCAACAGGATTGTTTTCTCAAAAATCAAAAAGGCACCGCTATCCGAATCTCGAGAGCCAGACTCCTAACAGGATTACGTGCTAAAAATCGAAGAGGCACCGCACTCCGAATCTGGAGAGTCAGACTCCCAACAGGATTACTTTCTCAAAAATCGAAGAGACACTACTCTCCGAATCTCAAGAGTCAGACCCTCAACAGGATTGCTTTCTCAAAAATCAAAGAGGCACCGTTCTTTGAATCTCGAGAGTCATATCCCCGACAGGATTGCTTGTTCGAAAACCGAAGAGGCACCGCTCTTCGAACTTCGAGTGCCTGATTTCCTTGGATAAAGCTTGTCTGCAATCTTCATACGCAACATCAACTTTTCAAATGCCACAGACCACTTTTTCAAAATGCTCTGACAAAGTTAAAACACGTGAAGCTTGCATCTCCCACTACATTGCTATGACCAAGAAGGATAAAGGAATAGCACTACTACTTGTTGTTAGGGAGACTCCTATATATGTCGACCTTCATCCTCCACAGCCAGACAGACCTGCAAATAAAAAAAATGCTTAACTTTTCTTCACATCTGAGAGAACACTCTCAGCAGAGTCTCTCGAAGTACTCAACTTCTTTTCCTCCCGATAATACCTCTGCAAACAAGCCACACCAGAGCAAGAGTATCTCATATCACCAAGGTTAAAAGCAAGAGTATCCCATATCATGCTTTTTCCCTGTCTTTTCCTTTGGCCTTGTTCTTACCTGCAAGACAAGGAGAAATATAGCAATCAGTCAGCACTTGGAATCAAGCTTCTGCCTCGAACCCCTTGCCTGATTACTTACCTGGCAGTGCTTTCGAGTATTCATCTTCAACATCTTATGCTTCCAGATAAGATACCACATCTGCCTGATGAACAGGTAGGGCAAGTGAGAAGGATACAAGGAAGCATGTGGAGACAAGCGTAACAGAACACGTGTCGATACATCCACTACTTTGTCAATAGCAAAAGTATCCCATATCATCAGGGTCGAACATACTCTAGATTTGGGGGACTTGTTTTGACCCTCAAATTCTTAAGTCGGCCTTATACTCTAGAGGAAACTAGAAAACCCTCCAGCCCAGTTCAAGAATACAATTGTGGAAAGTTACTTCTTCAAAAGCAAAAGTATCTCATATCATCTCTTCTCCATTTGCTTCTCTTTATCCTTGTTGCTGTTTACGACACAAGGAGAAGGAGAACAATCAACCGGAAGTCGAAGTCGAACCTCCGATCCAGGTTGCTTGCTTGGAAGTCTGATTGCTTACCTTGTCTATTACCTCCTTCGGTAAATCTCCTAGCTCGGCGACTTGGGGGACTCCTACTATAGGGTTTTGTATCGCACTTGACCAAGCCCAAAACTACAAGTAAGTTTCAAGTGAAATTGATACATTACCTTGTGCATCTTCTCGGTTAAAGATACCACTCCTGGATGGAGGAAAAGTACTTCCAGAGAAGATGTCACATCTACGTATGAGACAAATAAGGCAAGTGAAAATGATACCACACTTCGGTACTTAGAAGTTTCGTGATTACTCAATGGCTTAGATCTTGCAAGTCCCCAACCGAGGAGCTTCCCTTACTCGGGAACTTAGGGGGAGCACTATTTGTACCATACTTGACCAATCCCCGAAACTACTGAGCATCGGTCAACGTTATACCGTCAAGGACCCAGAAGAGTTTCCCTCCAACCAGGAGGTCAATCACAGCGCGACACGTGTCGACATCAGAAGCCAATCATAGCGCAACACGTGTCAAAATCAGAAGCCAATCACAACACGACACATGTCAAAGTCAGAATGAAACTAGAAACTCTCTTCTATAAATAGAGATCATTCTCTCACAATATTTCCTAATGTCATTTGTACTAAATCATTCACTAGTACTCACTAAATGAGAGCTTGAACCTATGTACTTGTGTAAACCTTTCACAATTAATGGAACTCCTCTACTCCGTGGACATAGCCAATCTGGGTGAACCACGTACATCTTGTGTTTGCTTCGTTGTCCCTATCTATTTACTTACTTATCCACACTAGTGACCGAAGCAATCTAGCGAATGTCACAAACTTAACACTTTCTGTTGTACCAAAGTCCTCGCTGATTTTGTGCATCAACATTTTGCATTAAAGTAAAGCAATTGACATTTAAATATGAATCCGAATTAACTAATCCTACATTTAAATATGAATCTATTCAATTAATGATCATTGGTCACGATAGTAAGTTGTTCCATTCACAAACCATATACAATAACAGATTTCCACCGAGAATCCGATGTTTTGTCGGTTCCTCTGCAAAAGCATAAAAAAAATAAAAAAAATAAAGAGCACTTACAGGGAAAACGAGCGTTTGGCCGATTCCCATAAATCATATTTATTAAATTTTTATTTATATTTAAATATTATAATTATTACAACCACCGTAGAGTGGTCCTGTTGTTAAGGACGAATTTTAGAACACGGCATATTATAAGTTCGTTTCTAAAGCTAATGATCCGCATGATAATTGTTAAAGGAGTCTGAAATGTTTATATGAATCTTTCCTATTACCAAAAGATAAACTACCGTGACAAACCCACGATTAGGGATGGGCAATGGTTATAGCGGGCAGGTAACCGCAATTATTTACCCATAACCGTTTATGCTCATACCCGCATAACCGTTTACTCGTTGGATAATTGCCTAAATGGTTAAACCCATACCCATAACCGTTTATAAACGGTTAACTATACCCATAACCGCATACCCATTTAACCGTAACCGTTTAATACCCGTTTACCCATTTACCCTTTTTAACCCATTTATTTATTTATTTTTACCATTTCCCCTTTTTCACCCGTCTACATGTTTTTTAACAACTTGAAAATTAAAAAAAAAAATTGTTTTCTTTTTGACAATTATACACCGTTATAGGTATATTCATAATACATTTTCATATTTTAATTTTTTAAGTTCTTATACCTTTCCAATAATTGAAATAAGAGTTTACGGACGATATTTCATGTAAAACCGTGATGGCTATGTCTCGACATATAAGCATATATATGTTACAGACATAATCAATATGCACTTGTAATTACATAGTGTAAAAAATAAAATGATATATGTTGGTGAGTGCCAAACAGTGTGTGGCTTGCCAAAAAGGTTTTATACTTTGTAGGCTTGTATTAAAAATTGGAGCAATAGAAATATAAGTTATTGAGCACATCATATAGGTTTTATGCTACATAAATCATGCATTATAGTTAATAGCATTTATCTAAGTTTTGTCCGATAGTGAATATGGTTTGTGTTAATTTTACATATATAAAATAAATAAGTAAACGATTACCCGTTTATAACCGTTGTTAATACCTATAACCGTCCATTTAAATTTCACGGGTAAACAGTTATACCTATAACCGTAGTTATCCATGACCAATGGGTATTTGCCCATCCCTACCTACTGTTAGTCATCCACTGTTAGTCATTTTCAAAAAGAAGAAATATTATAATTTACGCACACACAGTGAGTGAGTAATGAGGCGTATCTCTCTCGTGTGTCGCCTGCAAATTGAATATTCCCTCGCAATATCCAATCCTTCCTCCTCCATTTCCTCCCTCATTTTACTCTCACTGTAGCACGAACACCATTCCCACAACCCACTCGCGCACGCGCACGCGTCCGCGTGGAGCATCTGATCCGTTCGTTAACTAGTCTCCGCAGTAGGATCCACCTCACACGACGCCATTCGCGCATCTATATATAGTCGCGTGCAGACGCCCATTTTATATATATACAAGAGATAAAACCTTGGTCTGAGACAGGGACAAGCAAACCAATTGTTCCTCACTCCAATCTATCTATATCTGTCCGTCCCTGTTCTTCCCGCTTCCGGATTCGTATTTGGATTTTCATTTCCTGGAAAAGATTGGGAATTTGAAACGCGTGAATCGATTTCTGAATTGGGGTTCTTTCTGATTTTGATTTGGTGCCGAAATGAGGCTGAACGGCGAGCTTCCTCCGTGCTACGACGGAAGAGCGGAGGGGGAGGAGAATGGAGAAAATGAGAGAGAATTGAATTCAATCGGCAGCGTTGGGATTTCTCTGCCGCCAAAACTCGTCGTCGGGTACGCCTTGACCTCCAAGAAGAAGAAGAGCTTCTTGCAGCCCAAACTCGTTGTCTTGGCTAGGTATGTTGTATAAGAACCCACCAATCTTTTTACCAATTGCACACACTACACATTCTTATCATGTGTTTGCATATATATATAACTATATATTTGTATGTATGTGAAATTTTGAAGCTTTGTGAGGTTTTGTTGTGTAGTTTCCTTATGTGTGGGTATCTCTTGTTTTCTAGTTTCAGTTTGTATGTCTTTGATTTTATGAGCATAAAAGAAGAAACAAAGGAAAAAGAAAGTGGCTTTTTTTGGGTTGCAGTGGGTGTGTGATTGGAGGGGGATATGGATGTTTTTGTCTATATTGTTTTAAGCTTTGGCAATATTGATCAAAGGGAAAAGTGTGTTTTGCTTGGCTTTTCCATCCAAGCTTCTTCTCCAGTGGGTTTTGGAATCTTGGTGTTTGGTGTTTCTGACTGAGACAAATGGGGGGAATATTCCATCACATATACCATTTTGGGGGTTAAGAGGAACCCAAAGTCAATTCTTGGTGCTTGCTTCTGTTTTCCAAAAGCTTCTAAAAACAATAATGATTTTCCCACTTCTGTCTTACTTAGAGTACTTATTTACAATCTTGTCCTTCATCCCTATGTAATTGCACATATGAATTTGGGACTAAGTGAGGTGGACAATTTGCCCCTTCTTTTAGGTGCCTTTACATTTGTGGTTGAATGATTTGAAACTTACCTGTTTGTGTAGAGATGAGCTGCACATAAACAGGTTTGCTACTGCAGATTGTTACTTGTGCTTGAGAGTCAGACTCTTGACGAGTAGCAGCCATAAGCTTGACTTGATATTTGTACATTTTCAAACCTTGTAGAAAGTATAGGACTGCAAAGATATTACCTACGTCCTTCAGTTACGTGATAAATTTATCTTAAAGTGTTTGAGTTTTAACTCATAATTTTGGCATCATAATTGAAAGGATTTTCTAGCTGCCTCCTGCCCTTTCACATCTTTGGAATGGTTCTTTGGTGTGTTGGTTTTTTTATTTTTTATTTTGTCATTATTATAATTTTTACGCCGCTGAACCCAAGTTTTGAAACTGGTGCAAACTGATTGGACACTCGATTTAGTAAAACATTTCTGGGGTGCAGGAATAAGGGGATCTTCTTCATTGCAATTGATGTAAACAAGCCACTTTCAGATCAAGGACCCTTTGATGTTGTTTTGCATAAGGTGAGTGCTCATATGTTCTTTTAGACCCTTTGGTTCTCACTTGTGACAGTTTTTCCAAATTTAAAAGCATTTTTTCTAGTTAAAGGCTGCCTCTGGTTGTATGATTTGGATTCGTTGATCATGCCATTCAATATCCCCCTCCCCTTTTGTTTTACTAATTAATTTGTTCGTTGTATTTTGATAAGTATATACCATATTTAATATATCTGACAAAACTTAGTTCCTTCCAGTTGTCGGGAAAAGAGTGGTCCGAGGTTATTGAGGTTTGTCCATACAAACTCCAAAATGCTTTCTTGTCTTCCTTCTCCTTTGTCTTGTATTGGAAATGAACTTGTGGTGCTGCACTTTTTTTGCTGTATGTACTTGTGAATGATATAAAAGGTTGCTTTGTATTAGTGCTGGAATATTGTTTGTGAGATGGTTTAAAAGATGTTATGAATGCAGTGAGTTGGAGACTAGGAACTCCATTGTTGTTTAAAATGCAGGTTCTGGTTAAAATTTGTAGATCCTCAGGCCAAGTACAACATACCAGTTTTCTTTTGGTCTATCCTTTATTCATGAAAAATCAATCTCATCTTCCCCATTAAACCACCTGAGCAAAGTCCTGGGAGTTTATCTGTCTGTCGTTGGTGTTTACTTTCCCAGCCTTTCCTTTGTAGGATTACAGACAAAAACATCCAGAAGTAACTGTTCTTGATCCCCCAAATTCAGTAGAACATCTATACAACCGCCAGTCCATGCTTCAGGAAGTGGCTGATCTAAACTTGTCTGATTGCTATGGTATTTTTTTTCTCGTTTACTCTTTATGAAAACTGTGGATTGTATACAGGAAAAGTTGTGTTTAGATTTTCTGACCAGTTTTCATTTTGGTTCCTATAGGCAAGGTTGGTGTTCCAAAGCAGTTGATTGTCACTAAAGATCCATCATCTATTCCAAATGAAGTTGATAAAGCTGGGCTAAAATTGCCTCTGGGTAGAGTTACTTTATCCTTCTTCTCGTGTGTTTTGGGTATGTTTTCAGGGGCATTGGTTTTTTCTTTTAGTGTTAGGACACAGTTTCCTCCTCTGAATGAAACCGATTATGGTATCTACATACCAACGTGATGGTCGCACAAGGATTTATTGATATAGCCTAGAGATCCTCTGGATTTCCATGGCTAACGTTTTCATGGTATGTATAGTCATAATGATTGGCAGGAGGCAGGCTTCTTTGAACAATTTGGTAGGGGAGCTTTGTTGTCAGCTATTGCAGACTGATGAATCCCGACTTGATACTTCAACTATTGACCTCTGTTTATTTTGTATTTCAGTTGTCAAACCACTGGTTGTGGATGGTAGTGCCAAGTCACATGAACTATTTCTTGCTTACGACCAATGCTCCCTCTCAGAACTCGAACCTCCCTTGGTCCTGCAGGAGTTTGTAAATCACGGTATAATGTGGTAACTGGTACTTGATTACTATTTCTTTTTCAACCACATTGTTAGTTATACTTTTTCTACCTCCTGTTTGCCGCATTGTAGGTGGTGTTCTCTTTAAAGTTTATATCGTTGGGGAAGCCATAAAGGTTGTAAGGCGTTTCTCTCTTCCCAATATCAGTAAACGTGAACTAGAAAAGCTTGCTGGTGTCTTCCGTTTCCCAAGGGTTTCATGTGCTGCGGCTTCAGCAGACGATGCAGACCTTGACCCTAGTGTTGCTGGTAAAACCCTTTAAAAATGTTTAATATATTGGTTGTTATAATAAAAAGCTTTTTCCCTGTTTTCTTCCAACTTGTATGATTTTCCTTGCTGTTTGCAAAATGCTGTTTCAATGATACGTTGCTAAAACTACCTTATTGGTCCTTGGACCCCTTACTTAAAAATGGCATCATTGTTGCAGAACTTCCTCAACGGCCTTTGTTAGAGAACCTTGCAAGGGAGCTCCGCCAACGATTGGTAACCTCTCTCTCTCTCTCTCTCTCTCTCTCTCTCTCTCTCTCTCTCTCTCTCTCTCTTTGTGCAATGGTAGAAGTTAAGACTCGACTTTTTCTAGGGCCTTCGGCTATTCAATGTTGATATGATTCGAGAGCATGGGACAAAGGATGTTTTTTATGTCATTGACATCAACTACTTTCCAGGCAAGTACAGTTTGTTTGCATTTACTCTATATCCTCGCAAATATCTGTATCACGTCACCTAACCTACTGTATGTTGACCGTTGCAAAGTATCCATGCTGTGTATTGAATGTTTTGAACGAATTACAGGTTACGGCAAAATGCCAGACTACGAGCACATATTTACAGATTTCCTACTAAGCCTTGTGCAGAGCCAGCATAAGAAAAGACTCGCTGCGTAACCAGTGCAAGTACCCACTGTATATGATGTTTCGCGCAGACAGATGTAGGCCTCCTTGGAATTTGAGGACATTCGCATCTTGCTTTGGCGTCTTTAATTACCGATTGGTACGAAATGCCCCTTGCTCAAGTAACACTCCCCTGTACAGAAGGTTCTTGCTGTCCAAGGCCTATAAAAACTTGTGATATTTTATGTTGTTGCTGGGCTTAGAAGTATCAAATGTCTCTCCTGTACGTGTAAAATTCGATTTCATGTGGGGCATTTCTCGTAAAGGATTCGGCCTGGCGACACCACCCCATCTACCGGAACTGTCTGTGTTATAAAGCAAAATTCAATAACAGACGAATAAGAGAAGCTGCGTTGTCATCTCCTTCTACTCTTCGTCCGAAAATTTACTTTCCGATTCGAGTCAATTAATTAGATGTTTTCTCATGCCATTGCCCCTCTTCCCACTCCCACTTCTCTGTCACTAGGTTTCTTACATGAATTTGGTATATAATACTTGTACTTTACTGATTGATTTTTGAAGTGGAAAAGATTTGGAAATTTGATTAACATGATCAGAATTCAATCGAGGTTGTTTGTACCATACTTGATCAATCCCGAAACTACTGAGCACGGTCAACGTTATACCGTCAAACACCCAGAAGAGTTTCCCTCCAACCAAGAGGCCAGGAGGCCAATCACAGCGTGACACGTGTCGACATCAGAAGCCAATCATAGTGAGATAGGTGTCAACATCAGAAGCCAATTACAACACGACACGTGTCAATGTCAGAATGAAACTAGAAACTTTCTTCTATAAATAGAGATCATTCTCTCACAATATTTCCTAATGTCATTTGTACTAAATCATTCACTTGTACTCACTAAAGGAGAGCTTGAACCTATGTACTTGTGTAAACCCTTCACAATTAATGAGAACTCCTCTACTTCGTGGACGTAGCCAATCTGGATGAACCACGTACATCTTGGGCTTGCTTCCCTGTCTCCATCCATTTACATACTTATCCACACTAGTGACCGAAGCAATCTAGCGAAGGTCACAAACTTAACACTTTCTGTTGTACCAAAGTCCTCACTGATTTTGTGCATCAACATTTGGCGACGTCTGTGGGAACGACACTTATTCCCACTCTCTTCAGCTTTGTCAAGCTGGTTTCCACCATTCGTACACTCTCTTTTGACCAGGCATCCCTCTCCAACATGGGGTGTGAAGGAAGCCACAACACACAGAATGACACCCATCTTGCACCTAGTGCGAAGCAACGAAAGAAGGAAGGAAAGAGGGTTGCTCTCCAAGCTAAAGTCGATAAGCTAGAAGCTCAGAACAACAAGATAGCAATGAAGAATGAGGTCCTTCAAAAGCAGTATGAGAAGCTATTTGAGACGTTCCACAAAACTAGGCATACTCAAACACGCGAGCTCGTTGCCCTTGTGGACATCAACCATCATCTGGGTGCCCTCCAACACGGAGGGTCACCTTCCTTCACATGGGTATCCCTGATGAAGAGCGAGCTAATCATCAAAACATTGATCAACATAAGACATCTCTCAACCCAGCTGCTTCGACCTGAAGCAGGAGAAGTGGAGGAAGACATCTCATTGCAGAAGGGTTGGAAGGATCGAAAACCGTTTATCGTGACTGCCGAGACTTCATAAAGCAACGTCAAGAATCCCCTCCACATATGCTCGAAGATCAATGACCCAAGGGTTTCTGAAAGACTCAGTCCCTTCCCACGACCCAGGCCAGCTGCCAATCTAAGGAAGGAATGACAGGTCCCAGAAGAACATGAAGGTACAGAGGACTCTGAGGTATTCCGACAGACTCGCCCTAGAAGTCAGTACGGCGAGTCCAAGGAAAAATCACACGCCTTTGCTCAAACTTTCCTACTTCCAAGAGGCGATGGAGACTTACGAAAGAAAATCCCAGTGGTACATGACTTTACTCAGGACCCCATTGTCCTACAGCTCCTTGAGGAAGTAAACAAGTTGAAGGCCTAACGTCAGGCTGAGATACCTGACTGGAACCAACCCAGGCCTGGCCCTCTCACAAGGAGGATCCTCGACACCCCCTTCAAGCAAAGACAAAACAAAAGCTTGGTTTACAACTCTATACTGGAAGGGAAGACCTAATTGAACACATTAACCTCTTTTAGTCCACTATGGCATATCGGATGCACACCGACAAAGAGCGATGTCTTCTCTTCCCCTCCACCTTCTCTGGCGGAGCTCTAAACTGGTATTGTCGTCTTCCACTTGAGACAGTAGACTCATTTGAGGAACTGAGGAAACTGTTTGTCTCTCAACACATCTTCCAGACCGATTGCTTACATTATGCAGATGACTTGTACACTATTCGTCAAAAGCCGAACAAGTCACTACGAGAGTATGCCGGTCGTTTCAGCCATGAGTATTCTCGCTGCGCTGAGACAGATGACAAGACCGCCCTCAAGGTCTTCACGGCAGGCTTACGTGATTGTTTTTTCAAGTACATGATAAATGCCAACACTTGGAAGACTTACTATGAGCCGATGGCACAGGCTTACAACCATGCCTCCGCTGAGGCAAGGACATATCAAGGGAAACCCCCCACAACCACCCTTTATCAGCAAGTAGGGAGTGGAAGCTAGATCCAACCAAATGAGAAGACATCGACCTTCCAAACGGCAACGGCGCCTCCCCATGCCTTACTTAATACTTTGCCAACTCAACAGACATATCAATCTCAGGGTAAAAGGAAAGATTTCCATCCTTACCAGTCTCATTTTAGTAAAAGGAGTAAGGGACACTACCGTGATAACCAAGGGTATCGCCATGATAATCCCCGACCCAAGCAGTCAACAAAGTGGGTCAAGCATGTGTCAGGACAGCCCCTACCCCGAGGTATGAGGCAGACACACCTTTGAACGCCACATGCGTGGCCATTTACCCTAGCATAGCACACCTGATAATGAAGCCAAAGCCGAGGCACTCGGATTACAAGCCCACGAAGAACACGGGCACGTTTTGCTGTTACCACGAGCATAACGGCCATGATGGCGAGAAATGTATCACCCTTCGTGATCATATTAAACCTTTGGCACGTGAAGGAAAAATTGATCAATTCCTTCTTCACCCTCCAAAGGGTAACCGTAACCAATGCTAGGTGAATGTGATATATTCCATAAGTGGGGGCACAACCATATCTAAATCTTCCAACAGGGCCATGAAAAATGGTGAACGAGCTTTAAGGTCTGGCCACCAAGTGTTTCACGTGGAAGACATCAGGAGAGGTAAGTATCAAAAGCCTAACTGGGATCCAATATGTTTCTACCCTGAGGAAGAAAGAGGTATCATCTACCCTCACAACAACCCACTGATTGTAAAAGCTCACATAGCCAACTTTGAAGTACGACGAATCCTGGTAGACACGGGGGCTTCGGTCAATATCATGTTTGATGAAGCTTTCAGGGCACTTAATGTAGTTGAACACTTGCTCGATCGCTCGATTTCCCCTCTAATAAGCTTCTCCGGTGATATCGTGTAACCTTTGGGGAGCATACACTTACCTTTCACCATTGGTATAGGCCCTTACACAGCTACCAACTTCCTGGTGGTTGATTGTCCAACGGCATACAATGTCATCTTCGGACTCACAGGCATCAATGATCTCATGGCCATGGTATCCACACATATGTTGTTGATGAAATTTCCAACCCCCTATGGCAATGGTTACATCAGAGGAGATCAACTTAGTGCACGATCATGTTACAACACTTTGGTCAAGCAACAGCATCTGTCTGTGCCCAAGGAAACCCTTTCTATACATGACCAAGTCATAAAGACCAGCCCAGACGAAGCCAACTTGGATCTTCACAGTGGCAACAGTCAACCCGACGATCTTCGAGATAACTCTTTCACTCAGCAAGCATAACCCGCTGAAGAGTTGGAGAAGGTCTCTATCTCAAAAGATTATCCAGATTGCATGGTGAAAATTGGCATCACCTTATCACCACCCATTTGGTTGGCATTGATCTCTTTTTTGCAAGAGAACACTATGGTCTTCGCCTGGTCATACGAGGACATGCCAGGTATCATCTGTCATAGTTTAAGTATTGACCCCAAGACCAAGCCAGTGAGACAAAAGCGAAGATCTTATGACGTTGAACGATACGAGGCAATGAAGGTAGAAGTTGAAAAACTCAAAGGCATAGGCTTCGTCCACGAAGTCAATTATCTAACGTGGGTGGCAAATGTTGTCCTTGTTAAGAAGAATCCGACCAAGGAAAGTCTCTTGCTCCAAAAGGTCTTGTGGAGAATGTGTGTCGATTAAACCAACCTAAACAAATTATGCCCGAATGATAGCTTTCCTCTTCCTCTCATAGACAGACTTATAGACTCTACGGCAGGGTGTGAACTTTTGAGCTTCATGGATGCTTACTTAGGATACAACCAAATCCTCATGAACCCTCTGGACCAAGAACACACAGCATTCACTACTGACAGGGGACTATATTGCTATAAAGTCATGCCCTTCGACCTCAAGAATGCAGGAGCAACTTGTCAGAGACTGGTCAATTCAATGTTCACCGAACAGATTGGGAAGAGCATGGAAGTTTACGTTGATGATATGCTAGTCAAGAGCAAACATGCTGACCAACACATCACCAACCTATCTAAAACTTTCACCATTCTGAAGAGGTATCAAATGAGGTTGAACCCCAACAAATGTGCATTCGATGTAGGCTCTGGCAAATTCTTAGGCTTCATGATAAGCCAACGAGGCATTGAGGCTAACCCCGAGAAGATCAAAGCAATCCTCGACATGAAGGAACCGGTAACTTCAAAAGACATCAAAAGCCTTACTGGCAAGGTGGTAGCCTTAACTAGGTTTATCTCTAAGGCCACAGACAGATTTGCTCATTTCTTCAAAGCACTTAAGGGAAGTAAGAAGTACATTACATGGACTGATGAATGTGCTGAGGCATTCAAGAACCTCAAAGACTACATGAGTAAAACCCCTCTGCTCTCCAAACCTGAGGTTGGTGACACTCTCATTATCTATCTGTCGGTATCGGCTTCAGCAGTAAGCTCCGTTCTCATTCGAAATGATGATAATGTTGAACGGCCTGTCTACTACGCTAGCAAGGCCTTACAAGATGCGGAGACACGATACTCCAACATTGAGAAATTAGCTCTAGAATTGGTCATATCTGCTCGAAAACTTCGCCCTTATTTCCAAGCACACTCTATCATCGTGCTTACCAATCATCCTCTTCAATAGATACTCCAAAGTCCTGACACTTCCGGGCGAATGATCAAATGGGCAATAGCATTAGGTGAGTTTAACATCACATACCAACCAAAGCCAACCGAGAAGGGCCAAGCAGTGGCAGACTTCATCGCCGACTTCACATATCCTGTTGACATTGTTTCTACACCTAAAGAAGTGGTTTCATTACCCTCGTAATCTCAGAAAATAGAACTAACAACCCCAGCATGGAGTCTATATGTTAATGGCTCGTCCAACCACAGGGTTGTGAAGCAGGACTAGTCCTTACGACCCCTGACAAAGTGGCGATAGAGTAT